GCTCTTCTTCAAAGGAAAAGAAGATGGGATCTTTTCATTATTCTTCTATGTCCCCAAACCTAGTATTTTTATTCCCCATTTTTTGTAGGTTCCTGTAATTAAGTTTCCCCCTGTGTGGTCAACCACCACTTACTGGAGACTTCCTGCACCCCTCATTCCACTTTCCTGGGTATAGTCTTGTGTTTCTACGTAGAGGCTCCATCCCCCTTTTGGGGATTTTTGCATTCATGTCTCAGTCACACTCACACAACCTCCGGGATGTCCCAACCACCAAAGAGGTACTTTTTCTCAAGAACAGATTTCCTCCTTGGTCCATGCAGAGAGTCACCTGGTTGTGGGGTGCTTGCTTGGGCCCTTTCCAGCATTGCTGGTCCACTTTCCATTTTGGGCTTATTGTCAGCCTTGAGGATTGTAGTTTTCTCCTCCACTCCAAGGCCACAACAATAAGGCAGCAGGACATGTCTCCTCTAAGGAGGTAGTTCCCATGACCCCTTAGGCAGTGTATGGAGCCCTATGCCAGGCACCAAAACATGCAGAAATACTGGGGTGCCACAAGGAATCAAACATGTGCTCAGAAGTGGGTGGGCAAGGCAGACTTTACTTCTGCAGAAGGGCTGCTACCTAACCTTGGTAGCAAGCCCACCTTGGCAGGGCAGTCCACCTGCATTTATCCTGAACATATCACTGCCTCTTGCCCTGCTAGGAGGAGCTCAGGGTTACAGTCTACATGATTGGCAAAGGGAGTGGGTATAGTTACAATGGCTACCATCAGATCTTACCAATTAAAGCTAAATACTATATTCTAAAAATGGACCACTGGACTTTCCACTCTCACACTGGAACATGGGTCAGCCACGGCTCTGCTGTGCTTCTCATTCTGCCACCACTGCTCCAGGTCTGCTCTCAGGGACAGCTCCTTTTGCAGGTCACATTCTCTTGTGTGAATGACAGCTCTCAGCTAGATGTTCACTGTCAGCATCCCAAATACTTGTGTGCTAAACAGAGTAAATGACAGGAAATTCCTCCATCCTTCCCACCCTGCTGGGCTGCACAGAGCAGCCCTTCAGCTTCCTGCCCACTGCTGGAAGCCTAGTGGGCACCGTGGGCTGTGGGGATACCCTGGGTCAGTGGGAACACGGGACTCCTGCCTGGCACGCTCCTCCTTTCAGGCCTTCCTTCCCAACCCAGGCAGTCGTCATGTGTCTGCACAGTGCTGGGCTAAGGCTTGGGACCCTCTGTGCATCTTCAGAGCTCCACCGGGACAGATCTCCCTCTCCCAGGCACTGTCCTATGGGACACAGCTGGGCTTCCGTAAGGCTTTTCCTCGCTGTTTCTCAGGGTTATAGGCCTGGTTGCTGATGTCCAAGGTCCTAAAGCTGTCTCTGAGAGCAGACCTGCTGTTTGATCTGTTTTGTCCACTGTTTTATTTGCCATGGTGAGAGGCTGATGGCACCAGGGCTGCAGCCACAGGGAGGAGGACAAGAGCTCTGCCCACTGCCTGTGAGAACGTCCTCCCTGTCATCACTGCTGCCCACCAGAGTTCTGCTTTGTTATTCTATATTTCATGAGGGGGTTGGGGCAGATCCAAAAATTCCCACTCCTGTCACAATCGTCCCCAAATCCACAGGATTCTGACATGGGCAATTGCATGGCATATTCACTAGCTCTCAGGCAGGTGCAGCTGCTGCACACCTGGGTCCATCTCACACCTCTGAATGGTGTGCTTTGGAGGTCACTCTAACAGTACGGCCGCATCTTTCACTCCTTCTTTTTACAGCTGTAGGTGCCCAAGGTGTGCAGGTTTGATCATTTTCCAATTAATCCCATGTAGATAGCCACGTAGACAGTTTTCTGCCTTTTTTTCCTACTATAAATTTTGCCACAGGTTGGATGCAGTGATCACACACCTGTAATCCCAGCAATTCAGGAGGCTGAGGCAGGAGGATTCGAGTTCAAGGTCAGCCTCAGCAATTTAACAAGACCTTGTCTCAAAAAAATAAAAAGGGCTGGGGATGAAGCTCAGAGGTGGCATGCCCTGGTTCAATCCCCAGCACCAAATGAACTGTAAACCATGCTGCAGTTTACAGTCTTGCTCTGCTTGCAGTTTTCCTGGTGTGTCATGGGGTACACTCTTCCCTGGAGACAGCTGGGCTAACAGTTAGACTCCTATGTCACTTGCTGGATGCCACCAAGCTCCCTTCCACTCAGCACTGACACACTCGTGTCCTGGTTCTGGGTCTTGACAATAGGGTATTGACACTGGGGATTTTGTCAGCAGATGAGCTGGGGGGTGAGGGGGCTGGTGGTAAGAAGACATCTGGGGGGAGGGAGGCGCAGTGTGGGAGCATGTCCAGGAGCATGGAGGAATTGAGTTCCAGGGACAGGGGTGGTGCACAAGGCAGGGCAGCCAGTGAGTAGCTTGGTAGAGCTGGCATACTTGGACCCCGGCGCCTAGGGATCGGCTTTTTGACTGCTCATCTCAGGATGGCCTGGGGTCAGGAACTAGGGTTTTTCCAGGAGAGCAGGACACAGTCAAATGTAGGGGTTATGGAGGTGGAGTTAGCCCTGGGAAGTCCTGGTGATCTGGACCAGGGCACTTGTTGAGTAGGGTCCTGGGGATGGGGGAGAAAAACTGATGGGTTTGAGAGAGAACTTGCAGAGAAGTGTGGGATCAAGAAAGAACTCGATTCCTCCTGCTCTGTAGAGCCAGATGCCTCACCGAGGGTTTGTGGGTAACTGGAATGGTTCCTCAAAATGAGACTTGATCACAGGAGGACAGGCCAGCACCCCTGGAAGGCTGGTCACAGACAGGAATGAGGACCCCTCATCCACAGGGAGGAGGACCTCCCCTCCCCACAGTCTGACCTGGAGCCATGATTTTAGGGTCCATCTTTACACACATTTACTTTGTGGGCTGGGATGTGTGTAACCCTGTGAACTCACCACCAAGACAACACAGATTCCCATCCTCCTTTGGGGTTCCCCACCCTCAGGCTTCTGCTGAGTGAAGCCCTGGAGGGTTCTGAGCAGAGGAGGGATGCCCTGAATAATTTTTTATGAGAGTCTCTATATCATGTTGAAAACGGACACAGAGCAAAGGACAGAAGAGGGAAGCTACTCACTACCCCAGGGGGTTGAATCAGGGTGGAGTTAAGGGTCACACGGCCTGATTCTGATGGGCTCTGGTAGGTCAGCAGAAGGCTGGTGTAGGCACAGAGAAAGATGGTAGGAAGGCCCCATGTCTTGTCCTCAGCGTTGGCAGGCGTGGGATGAGGGCATAGTCTCTAAGAATGACCTGGAGTTGTCACGCTGTGAAGATCTCCTGGTGGAAAAGTGGATGGCTATACACCAGAGCTGGGCTCAGAGTAGTGGCCTTGGTGCTGCTGGTGAGATGAGCTCACCTGGAAGAGCAGCTGGCAGCCCAGGTGTTGGACGAAGGGACCTTGGGCCTGGAATGAATTCTCAACACAGTTTCACCTGTAGCCGACAGACAGAAAGTCATGGGGGCCATCTATCCATCAAGTTAGAAAACTTCCTGGGGTCACTCTGTCCTCAGCCCAGGACTGCTCTTGGCCTGCTCATTTGTACCTCTATGCTGCCCCCAACACCAAGGCTCTGCCTCCCTCCCCCACTTCCACACCCCTGCATCAGGACCCTGCCCCCCATGACAGCAAAGGGCCCCCTGCTTCTCAGAGGCCGGCTGCCACACCTGGGCCCAGGTCCCACGTCTATGCAGCCTTTCCTTTTCTGCAGTATGGCCAATTTGTCCTTCTAGTCAGCTGTCCCCGCAGCACCACAAGGCCACCAGAGTTCCCACCCAGAAAGAAAGCAGTCCTGTTTGCCCCTCACCTCCCCTGGACAGAGCCCCATTTTGTTGCTTTCCTTTACAGCAAAAGGCCTTAAAATGTGTCTTTTTCGAAAATGCACTTTTCGAACCTGCCATGATCCAGTTTCCACACTATGATGCATCCATACTGCTGCCAAGGCCTCTGAAAGCCCCATGGGCATTCTCAAACACCCCCAGCAGCTAACTCAAGCCAGACCCGCCCACAGGCGGTGGCTCTGCCCTGGGCTGCTCCAGCTGGGTCTTTCCTGTGGGCTCCTCCAGGACTCCAGGACTCCATTTCATATAGTCACCTCAGTGGTCACTCCTTTGACCAACCATTTCCAGGTGTTACAAGCTAAGGAGCTTCACAGGACTCAATGCCCACGTCTACTGGTCACCCACAGGGGCACTGCTGACCCACGCCCAGCTCTGCCCCGTGTGCTCCCACACCCCCAGACCACCTGACTCCTGCTCCCTACGCTCTAATCCCAGCCCTAACCTTAACGCCTGCAGTTACAGAGGAGCTCCAGCGACCCCTCCGGACCCAGGATGCGCGGGACTCCCTGCCGCGCACCTCACCACCCCAGACTCCAGCTGAGCTCCTTTCCTTCAGTCCTTTCCTTGCCCCAGCCCCATGCGGAAATCCACTCAGCGTGCCACTCAGTCTCCTAAAGACACTACACTTCCTTTTCCCTCTTGCTGCCTCTCCCACTACAGTGAAGACCCTAGAGGGCGTGAACTTCTCGGTCACTGCTCACGGTTCTAGGGTGGGTCTCGCACAGGTCGACAAGCAGAGGAGCTGTGGGGTCAGCCGGGCTGTTTCAGGTCCGTGAGACCGAAGGCAGGGGCCCTGTAGGTCAGCGGCGTACAGCGCACCTGCCACGTTCAGAGCAGGGAGCCCCGCCCAGCCCCACACCCCAGCAGGTCAGCGTCCAGCGCCCGCACGCCGACCCGCAGCGCGCCCGGTGCACTCCGTCCACGCCCCGCCCAACCACGCCCGACGGTCCCCGCCCCTTACCCTGTGGCCCCTCCCCGGCCCCGCCCCTCCCATCGCGCCAGCCGCTACGGCCGAGCGCGGACCACACGCGCCTGCGCCCTCAGGCTCCGCCCGGGCCCGCCCCCTCCGGGCCCCGCCCCCGCTCGGCCGCGGGGTGGGAGCCGAGCCGCGCACCGCGCATGCTCCAGGCGCGGCGCCCCCGACCCGGCGCTCGGCTCGGCTCGGGCATTTCCGCCTCTTTGTTTTAAACTCCGGACGGCTTTTTTCTCCTCCTCTGGGGGGGACCCGGAGGGAGCGGCGCCCCCTCCCCCTCCCGGCGAGCCCCCGCGTGCGCCCGCTCGCCCGCCGCCCGAGACGCAGGTCAGTGAGCCCGCCCCGCCCGGCCTGGGCCCGCGCGCCCGCTCCTCAGGCCGCGGCCTCGGCCCGTGTCCGGCTGAGGGCTGCAAGCCCGGCGCCGCTCGGCCGGCCCGGGGAGGCGGGATCCCGAGGGCCAGCAGGCGGCCGGGACCCTGGAGGGCCGGACCCCAGGCCAGGTTGGACCCGGGAGGGCCGGACCCCCAGACGGCTGGACCCGTGGAGGGCAGGACCCTGGACCAGGCTGGACTGCAGACCGGGCAGGAGCCCAGGAGGACAGGACCCTGGAACAGGCAGAATCCCGGGAAGGCAGGATTCCAGACCAGGCAGGATCCGGGGAGGACAGGACCCTGAACCAAGCAGGACCTTGGGCCAGGGTGGACCCAGGGAGGGTGGGACCCTTGAACAGACAGGAGTCCTACCAGTCACTGAAGGGCCATTCACTGAGGAGGGTCAGTCCTTGGGACCAGGGAAGACCCACAGAGTTTTGGGATCTCAGAACATGCCATTCAGGAGAGTTCAACCCCAGGACAGGTCACTGAAAAGGGCTGGGATTCCAGGATGGGCCACCAGGGACAGTCAGTCCTGGGGACCTGACAGTCTGGGACTCTGGGAAGGATCATTGAGGAGGACTTGACCTCAGGACCAGACAGGACCCAGAGAATGCCAAGAAAACTGAGGAGTGTCTAACTCAAGACAGGTCATAGAGGAGGGCCAGGATCCTGGAACAAAGCCACAGGAAGGTCAGGACTCCGGGAAAAGCTCACTGGGAGGACTGGGGCACTCAGACTGGCCCCAGAGGTCCACAGCCCTGGTGCAGGCCTGTGAGCACTTTGGGGACCCTAAGGTGGCCTCTTGTCCCCATGAGGCAGGACCCTGAGTCTATACCTGAGAAAAGTTCATGACATGGACAGACTCATAGAGGACCCTGATAAGAAGTAAAACTTTTAAGACAGGTCCCCAGGGTGGCCTGGGACTCTGAGCATCTAGACTGGGTTGGAAGTGCTGAGCCTTCAGTGGGATCCAGAGGTGTCCTAAATCTGTCCAGCTCACCACCTGGCTCCCTGCTGTGCAGGTGCAGGCATGTGGGATCCTGCTCACCTGAGCCCCACAGGTTCAAAAGGCTCTTTACACAAGACCCTGAGCACCCTGACATCATGAACTCTTGGGCTGGGCCCAAGACCTATAGCAAGTACTGCCTGGAAAGGGACCTGGAGGCAGGTGCAAGGCAAGGTTGGGGCTCATCCTTCTGGCTCTGGGACTCAGGTTTTCAGGGGAATTCCTCATCCAGGGGTGCTCTGTGCCACTGACTTGGAAAGCTGCCTCCTGTTGCTCTTAGCCCCTCCTTTGGCGATGCTGTCCTTTCCTTGTCTTGACCCCGGGATTACCCTCTTGTCCCTCCCCTAATCCTTCTCAAGGTTGTACAGGTGTATCCTGAGTCTAGAAATGTCTCCAGTGTCCGGGGGACTTCAGGAATGGGTGGAAGGGTGGGTTGCAAGCTGGGGCAGAAGGCTTTGGGCAGGAAAGCTGGACAGCAAGGTTGCGTGGGAGAGCAAGTCAGAGGCTAGTTCCACTCCAGGAGAGGAGGGCATTGTTGGATCTTGGGGAGGGGGTCTTTCTTTCTCTGAAACATTCCACGGAATTGGCCATGAAAAGTGGGTGCAGCTTTTATGCTGTGAGAGGTATTCATGGGCCAGCAGTGTGCTGCACTTGAGTAGGGCAGTCTCCATGTGTGTTCTCTGAGAATGGAAAGTCCAAGGGCAGGAACTTGGCTCTACCCAGCACCTGAAGCCTGCCTGGTGTGGGCAGCAGGCAGCATATTACTGAAGAGTGGGTGCCAGAGAAGAGTAGAAGGCAGGTGCACCTGTAGGTCAGCTGCAAACTGAGGATGAGGTGTGAGTCTCAAACTCTGGGCTCCTGAGAGATGCTTGAACTGGTCAATTCCATTTTTTCATCTTGAGCCACAGTCAGTTCTGGTTACTCAGGAGAAAACCACCTTAGGTTCCTAGCACTGAACATCAACCACACTGTGTCCCTGCATGTCCAGCGTGCATTGCCAAACATAACTGCATTTGGGACTTTGTCCTTGGTGCTTACTTTTGACTTGTTCTTTTGACACACTCTTTTTACTGTGGTTAAAACTTAATTTGCCTTTTGAAGTTTTGAAAAGACATGCAAACTTGAGTAAGTGTTCAGAACCTACGTTTTCCTTTTTGTATTTTTGAAAGTGTGGTAGTGCTGAGTGGTTTTATTTTATGTCATCATGCAGCTGTTTTCCCCAGAACTTAGTTCTCTAAGCCAACAGTCAGTTATGATCCTACAGTCTCTGGGTCAAGAACGCAAGGTGGCCGACCAGGTCTTTTGGCTCAGCACCCACAGGCCTACAGTCAGGTGCTGGCTGGGCACCTCCCCAGGGGCCACCCACCTCAGGCCCCTCCCATGCTGCCTGCAGGAGAGGCCAGCTCCTCCTGTAGGCCTCTCAGAGGCAGCTGAGAAGGAATGGGGAGGGGAAGGAGACCACTGGCTTTGCAGCCTACCTTGGAAGTGGTGTCCCATAACTTTGGTGAGTTCTTTTTGTTAGAAGTGAGAAGTGAGGCCCTGTGCAGACTTGAGGGGAAGGGGCCCCTCAGGGTGGTGCAAGGTGGGTGGACTCTGCAGCAGCATTGTGAGCATGGCACTTAGCTGGTTTCATCAGTGATATTTGAAAAGCTCCCATAAGAAGTTAAGAACCATGTTGGTGGAATGGGGGCTCCGGCTTGGCTGTGCTGCCTGGGATCTGGCACATGACGAGAGATGAGTCATGGACAGAAGAGATCCCTAGGTGTCAGCTTGCCCTCAGGAGTCGTGAGGGTACAGAGCCGTGGGGTCCTTGGTTGCCCGGGTGCAAGGGTTTCAGTCTCCCACAGTCTCACTGGTATTTCTACCAGTGATCTGGTCCAAAGAAAGAATGTTGTGAGAAGTGTTTGTCTCAACCATTTAAATGTGGAGAAAGTTTCTCCTGTCATTTTGGACCTTGTGCACTTGTTTTATGTGTCCTCTTCAAAGTAGTATACGAGGTGTGGCATCTCTGAAGTGGAATGTTTGTCTTCTGTGGGCTCCCTGGCCAAGGCCTGCCCAGGGGGGGCCTAGACCCAGAGCTGCACCTGGGCACCCGTTCAGGGTTGCCCTGGACACGGCCCTCTGGCCACCTTTCACCTGTCTGCCGTCTCTAGACTTGGGGTATTCCACCCAGGGCGGCTGGGTGAGGAAGGACTCTTCGCTATTAACTGGAATTGTGTATGTGGGTTGTTTGGACCATAAAGCAAGGCTCATTTGGGTCTACCTGTTGTTCTTTATTAAATGACAGGATTGTTATTCATTTGCAGCCTTATTTGTTTGATATTCAGATATCAAATTTGATATTGGATTTTAAGTTGAAGCTGTAATTTTCCTTTACTGTGAAATGTTGAGGTTCATGGACAGTTTTCTAGTGTCTTGTGATGTGTGCTGCTTGTATTACAAAAATGCTGCACAATTCATTGGACTTCAAAAATTGGAGCTAGTCTTCAGTTCTACAAGTGGGCAGTTTATCATTAAATTTAAAAAGTGTGAGGCCTTTAAAAATAAGAACATTCTTTTTTTTTTAATCTGAGTTTCTTCCTACAGCTGTGGACTTCAGGACAGGATGAAGGGCAGGAGTGAATATTCGCCCCCTGAGTCAAGCAGAACCCCACCTCTGGGAGTGAGCTCATCAGGAGTGGGGACTCCTCGATAGTGGTTAGGCCAACTTGCTGTTTTGAAGAGAAACTCTAGCATTTAAATGAATGTACAGGTTAATTTGTCTCTTTTTTGGATAAATTCATTGATATTTGCTGGATTTGGTAGATATTTATAAGAAGCATGTGAACACTAGAAAGGGGTCGATAGGTAGCCATGAAGCCCCACTGCCTATGGGTCCTGGGGGTCCTGCAGGACTTGAGGCGGCCCCTGGGTCTCGTGGGGGGGTCTGGAGGTCCGTGGGTCTTGTCAGCTACTCCATCTTCTGGTTCCTAGGAGGGTTTGGCCTGTATCCAGTGACCATGTGGATGCTCCTGCGGGACACCTCTGTGGCCCAGTTCTGAGGGTCTTGTACATACCACCCTGTTTGCCAAAGTCAACTAGGACACTCCCTGATTACACCCATTTGCCTGCTGTGGGAATAGGGGACAGGTACCCCCACATTAGGAGGCAAAATTGAAGAAGGGTAAGCTTCCTTTTATTTCAAGGGTTTGTTTTACTTTTATCCAAATGTTCATTAAGAAAAAAAGGCCTGAAGAAAAGCTATAGGGAATTCTGCCATTGTTTGGATGTTTGTGTTCCCCGAGTCCCTATGTTGAAATCCCAGCCCCTCTTGATAGCGGTGGGAGTGGGCCTCACAAGCTTCCCTGGAGAAGGAGCCTTAGGTAGCCACCAGCCTGTGGCACCTTGACTGGACTTCTTGCCTCCAGCATGGACAAGAAAATCTCTCTTTTTTACACGCTGTTCAGTTCAGGGTATTTAGCCTGAACAGGGTGGAGCAGGACCCTTGAAGCCCATGCTCAGAAACTCGGTTCTGTTATGGACTACATTTGCTTCGTCTTTTGCTGTACGTGACTGCTTGCTAATGGAAGCATTGGAGAGTAGCTACAGACAGCATGACACATCACTCAGACAATATAGAGTGTCAGAAGTGGTCCCTCACACAACTGCAATACCACTGTGGCACCAAGAGAGCGGTCATGCCATCCACATAATAATTCATTTTCAGGCCGTTTGTATTTTCCCTAGTGGTCTTAGGAAGTTTTTCCATAATGTTTTCCCTTAACTTGATTGGTCCTCTCTGGCCTTGGTTGGTGTCCATCCCTCCTGAGTACACTGGGGAGGTGCCAGACTTGGTTGGTGTCCGTCGTTCCTGAGTACACTGGGGTCTCAGCCTTGGTTGGTGTCTATCCCTCCTGAGTACACTGGGGAGGTCCCAGCCTTGGCTGGTGTTTATCCCTCCTGAGCACACTGGGGAGGTGCCAGTCTTGGTTGGTGTCCATCCCTCCTGACCACTTCGGGGGTGGGGGTTGATCTTGGTTGGTGTCATGTCCCTCCTGACCACACTTAGGTGGGTATGGAGTGAGACATTCTGGGTACAGAGTATTTCTAATAGTATGTTTTTCTGGACCAATGTCCTCCTGCAGCTGGGCATTTTTTCAGGACTTGGCTCTCCTCCTGGCTAACGTTTGCTGTAATGAGAGGACTGGCTAGTTATTCAGGGGAGAGGCACAGGGGTCAGACACACTTATTCCCTCTGTAGCACCAGCCTATGATGTCACATGGGAGCCACTGTCCCAGCACTGAAGTGATTTCTAGACTGGGAGGATGCAGTTTCAGCACAATCCACACAGTACCTCATGGCTGTGTTTAGACCCAGCCTGTGCTTCTCATTCAGCAAAGAGCGCTCTTGCCAGCCGAGTCCCAGATGCTGCCCAAGGGCCCACCACCAGCCTCCCAAAGGACAGCTGTCTGAGGACGTGTCCCATCTGTTAGCCAGGGGAGAGAAATCTGCAAGACTCCCAGGTCACTGAGTGCTGGAAGAGGCTGGACTGACAGGAGAGGTAGGGGCAGGGCTGACGTGTTGATGTCGTCAGCCCCAGGTCAAGGGCCAGTCGCTCCCAGCCATCCGGATGGTCAGCACAGTGGGAGCCTCCATCGCCACACAAGGTTGTGCAGGATAGCACTGGTGTGGGTGGGTCTCAAGGCTCAGAATGGAGAGCCCTTGCCTCTGGGACAGGCCGGGGAGGTACCTGTCAGAGCAGCTGAAGGTCTGCCTGGCTCCTCTATTTTGTAAAAGGGTCTGTACTTGCCAGGTACAGTGCAGGTGCACACCTGTACTGTCAGTGACTGAGGAGGCGGAGGCAGGAGGGTCACAAGCTCAAGGCCAGACTCAGCAACGTAGCGAGGCCCTGTCTCAAAAAGTAAAAAGGGCTGGGGTGTATCTCATGGGTAGAGAAGAGAGCCTTTGAATTCTAACCTCAGGACCATTAAAAAAGAAAAAGGAAGATGAGATAGATCAATACGTGTTTTGTTTCTTGTTGGAAACCTTCCTTCAGTCTGGTACCACCATGGCCCTGTTGTGTGCAGGCCTGGGGTTTGGGGGCCAGCTTGGTCCCCATCAGAGCCTTGGGACAAGCTCTGGGGCCCACAGGAGAGCAGGCTCTTGTCACATGCTTTAGCATGACAGCATCTCGTCAAGAGTGGGTTTTGAAGGGTGTTTCCGACTTGCTGATGGCAGAAGATGCAGCTGGGCGCCAGGCACATAGTCACCAATATGTGAGCAGAACCAGGATTTTTAGGTAGAGTTTAACTTTTCAGCTTTAGAAGTTTATTTAAGTTTCCACATGTCTAGAAACTGTAAATTAAGACCCCATGACCAGGGGTCAAATAGAACTGGGCGTGTAAACAGCTAAGGCAGAGGCAGAGTGATCTGCGTGCAGTGGGCAGGAGAGAGCCCCAGGGCCCAGGCCTGCCACAGAGGGAACTCTGCTCTCATTTGCCTATAAGAAGCATGCAGTCCCTTGCTCCTGTCCCCCAATCATGGAGCAGACATGATATAGTGCATGAGCATCCCCAGAGACACACCACACGGTGGTGCCTGTCCTGAAGCAGGTGAGGATGGGTGGCTTATAGGCTGCCTACACAGGAGTCCCTGTCTGACAACCTCCTCATGCCCAACAAGCCACCAGCCCATTCCTTCCCAGCCTCCCCAGCCCAGAACTCGCGATGCATCACTGCCTTCTCCTCAGTCCCACATTTGCCCTTGCAGCCCTGCACACAGCTGAGTGCAGTGGGGTACTAGGCAAACGTGGTGCTCAGAGGGCCTCCAGAGGATGCTGGGATGGCTGCTGAGGCAGGCTTGCCTGAGGCCAGAGCCCCTAGGAAGGGGCCGTGGGGCAGAGGCTGGCAGGGGGGCTCTTGCAGAAGGAAGGCCACCTGGTTCCTGGCTGTGCCTTTCCACTTCCTGAGCTGATACCAGGCTCCACTGCTGGCTAGCACACCTTGCCAAGGGCTCCTCTTGCCAGCATGGTGGCCTGTCACTGGATCTCCCAGTGTCAAATCTGCACTTGCAGTTTACGGATGAAGCTCAGTGTTTTAAGCGTTTTCATTTGGAGTTTCCCTTTTCTGACGCTCTTTCTGTGCCTAGAGAAGGGCAAAGGACAGAATTGTTCCATTGGGAGCCACTGAGCTGCTGGCCCTGGTTGTGGTCCTGGTGTCCTGATGACCCCCAGAATGGGTCCTGACCCAATAAACTCAGTGTAAAGTGGAAGTAGCCTTAGTGGAGGGAGCACTAAGTACCCAGCCAGCCCTGCATCCCAGTGGCCTCATGGCACCTCATGGCACTCTGAGGAGCCTGGGCTGAGGGCAAGCTGAGCTCTGCTGCTGCTGTGGGCAGGACAAGAACAGGCCCTGCAGGGTGTTGCTAACCCAGAGGGTCAGCTTCGCTGTGTGCCTTCTGCCGCACGTGCCTTGCTGTCACTGTTGCAGTGGGGTGACAGCTTCCAGTAATCCAGTGAAGTTGTGCTCAGGGAGTCCGGCTGGCCATCTCCCTCATACCTGCTGCCTCTTTTCTGTTTCACCAGGCTCTCCAGGGGCAGAAAGGCCTTGCCAGGTGCAAGGGTCTGCTCCCACATGGCTTCATCCACACGGGCAGGCAGGTCTGTGGTGATGTCTGCATCTTGCTGTAAACTGAACACTGTTCTTTTCTTGAGGTCACTCACACAAGGTCCACCAGCTTACAGTCCTAACTTGAGTCTTGCCTGCTTGAACTCCATGTCACAGAGGACCAAGGATTGTCATTGTACATGCCTTCTCTGTGGAGCTTGCCTCTGCCCAGGGAGTCCTCAGTTCCTCCGGGCTCCCCAAGAGCACTGCCCATGCTCACACACACACTTGAGTGGCTCCCTCTTAGTGAATGACTCTTGGAGAACTTTTTTCCTTCTAAGTTTTAAGAGTGTTTAAAATTACTAGCGGGTGTTGGATTTTGTCGAGTGGTTTGTGTGTCTGTTGTAGACTATGTGGCCTTTCTTCTAAGGAGGTGTTCTCCCTATAGTGCAAGGCAGCCTCTGCCTGGTGGAGAGCGGTGGCTGAGGCAGCTGGTCCTGTTGGGTGATGCGTCTGTCCTTTTCCCTCTGCTCTGACCTCGGCAGGGTTTGGTGTGTGCATCACTGGTCCGCAAACTGAGTTGGAAGAGCTGTCTTTGCGTTTCTTGTGGTGCTAGGGACAGAAGCCTGGGTCTGGTATGTGCTAGGCAAGCACTTTGCCCAAGCTGCCTTGTTTCCTGAGAGGACGGAGTGTCCTGGCTGCCCTGTAGGTCCCTCTGGGGACTTCCAGGCAGGAGTCAATTTCTGAGGAATTTGCCAGTTGCATGTGGACTTGGGTTTCTGTCACCCTGAAGCTGTGCACAGCACTGATGTTGCCAGGCGCCTTCCTTGCGGCTCTGTGCTCACTCACTAGGCTGTCTGCAGATGCCCACCCGTATGCCTGCTCATGTCATCTTCTCATGTCCTCGGTAACCCACCCAGTTATGCTTGCTTGTTATTGTTGGTGCTGTCAAGACGTAGGCAGTGGGGATTTATGTGTATGGCTGCCCAGTTCAGGACCCACTGGTTGTGACTTGTTAAAAGTTACATGTGCTAACACTTCATCTCCTCTGTAACATGAGCCACCGTTGGAGTTTCAGCAGCCTTGGGTGGTCAGTGGCTGCCATACTGGGCGGGGACAGTTCAGGACAGCCCTGGCCACAAGCTGGCTCATCCCCCCACCTTCTAAGGGCTGCACACAGGCCTGTTGGTTCTGCTTCAGTTTGCCGGGAAGACAGACTCTCCTCTGTCCCTTCCTTGGGGAAGTTAACGGAGCTTCAGGATTGTTAGTCAAAGGCAGTTATGGGAATACCTGAAACAGAACATGGTACAGGATGGGTGTAAGCACATGTAAGGCCATATCTGAGCACTGTTCTCAAACTCATGCCTCACTCTGTCCTGGAGCCCTGGCGCTCTCCAGAGTTTTGCTCCAGGCAATCCTCAAGCCCTTCTCTGGGGACACTTGCTCCCATGTCAGAACAGAGCCCTGGACAAGTGCTCAGGAGACGCACCTAGGGGGGCCTGGCTGGGCTCCTGAGCTCCCCTCAACATACAGCGGTCGCCAATCACTGCTAGCCCTGTCCCAGAGCACAGTCCCTGGTGGCCATGTGGTTGGAAGCCCATGTGGCTCTGCCAGGGTTGCTCTGGTTCTTCACTGTTGCAAGCGCCCAGCTCATGTCCTCATTCCCCTGAGCCGCGCACCTGCCAGGTGCCCACATGTTTCCTCATGCACATTCTCTTAGTGGGTGGGAAGTCTGACCAGGAAAGAATACAGTGCTCAGTGTGGGCATGAGGCTGCAGAAGTCATGGGTATCACAGGAATCTAATGACAGATTTGTTCTTCGCAGTCCCTCTCCAGAATCCCTGCGCAGCTCACCCTGAAATCCACTGCCTCTCTTGGGGAAGTCCATGGACCCCCTTCCTGCCTTCTTGGGTCCAAAGCAGTGTGACAGAGCCCCCACCTCCATTCTGTGTCCCCATGAGCCAGGTTTCTGCTCTCATAGTTTCCCTTGGCTTGGGCTGGGCTGGGCTGGGCTGGGCACACTAGGCAGATACTTCACCTGTCTCCATAGTAAATCCCCCTTCTTCGCCATCATTGATTTTCAATTTTTTTTTTTTTTTTTAAGCAAGTAAATGAGCAGACATGTTTAACCACCCAAGGCTCAGAGCTGCTGGCGGTGGGCCCCTGTGTGGGCAGCACCTTGCCCCGTGTCCTGTAGTGATGCCTGTCTCTGCTTCTCCTCAGGCTTCACGATGTAGCGGGACCCCCGGCCCCCACTCTCAGGTGAGTGCATTTGAGCTGGCCTCCCTCCTCCTGTGCCTTTGAATCAATGGGCAATTCCCAGAGTCATGCTGGGTCAGTGTGTCGTGGCCACGGGCAGGTCTGCAGTTCCCTGGTGGCGTCGACGACAGCAACTCTCAGTGCCCAGTGCCTTCCTCTGGGTTAATGTGTCCAGTGGACTCTGTCCCCATTGCTGCAGGATTTGCTTGGTCCACTGAGAACGGAGTGGCAGGACTGAATGCAGGAGTTTCAGTGACGTGACTAAAGTAACAGTGCCATTTCTGTGCTAGGAGATGGAAGCAGAGCAGAAGCCAGGAGGGAGGTGCCCAAGTGAGCCAGAGAGCAGAGGGAGGGAGGAGCGGCGCATCCGCGTGGTGGCCTGAAGCCTCCATGCCACGCGGGAGGAGGGACACGCAGACGTCCAGAGGAGGTGAGGCCCACCGGATGGTGGGGGGTGAAGATGGTGGTGTCTCAGACTGTGGGGGTGAGGCACAATGGGGAGGGGTGCAGTGTCAGATGGCCTCGCCAGCACTCGTGCCATACTTGTGACTGCGGAGAGCAGGTGTGTACCTGGAGCCCACGGGGCTGTGTGGGACACCTTGTGGGAGCCACCAGCTGTCTCCTGGGTGTGCAGAGGGGTTGAACTGCACTCCCCTCCTGACTCATGTGGGAGCTGCGAGCAGGAGGGCCTGAGCCTCAGCTGCAGTGCCTGCAGGTCAGGGGTGGCGTCTGGTTCAGACTGGCGCAGAGGGGGTCAAGCCCACAGGATAGCACTAGTCCTCCCCACCCTGGGGCTCTGGTGTCTTCCTGGCAGCCACAGGCCCTGGTGCACAGCAGTAGCTGGTGGTGGATTCCTAGAGTCAGGGCCATCCTCCACCTACTATCATATCCAGGGGCTAGGCCATGGACCAGAGGGCTGGCCTGGCTCCATGCCCACCTGAGAGGCAGGGATGGGCCTCCAGTTAGGAAGAGGACTTGGCCCAAGCAGCTAATCTGTGGACACCAGGCCATGGCACACTGTGCCATCCCTGGAGAGACAGTGTTTGCTGGAGGCTAGGTGAAACACATCGGAGTGGTTTAGATGGAAGTTGTCATAGGTTTCTCTTGCAGAAGCCAAAGATGTTGACCAGGAAGATTAAGCTCTGGGACATAAATGCCCACATCACCTGCCGCCTGTGCAGTGGGTACCTCATTGATGCGACCACGGTGACCGAGTGTCTGCACACGTGTAAGTCCGCCTACAACTCTGCGCCTTCCAGATGGTTCCAAGGACCACAGTGACGGGGGTGGGTAGGCAGCTCCTCCTATGTGTTCCTGGGGACTTGGCTGTGTCTTACCAAAAGCTTTTAGTTCATGTGCAAGGGCAGCAGGGCCAGGAAAGGAGCAGGGACTCCAGGAGAGATCAAGAAGTACCCTGGGATTCCTGGAGATGAGACTTCCCTAGGGTCACGGGACACAGAGCTACTGTGTTGTTGCCATAGGGCCTATGGCATGGCGACTTTCTCCTTCAGCAGGCAGAGAGGCCTGTTTTACATTTCAAATGAAGTCTTGCACTTTTCAGGTGGGTGTCTACTGGTTTGCTCCTAGGGACTGATTACCTGTTCTGACCATCTGGGCTTGTGTGGGTTTCTCTGTTTGCAAAGCAGGTACTGGTCACCTACAGGGTGATGGTGCCTCTGGTGGCCGCTGAGGAGCATTTTGCTAACGCAAAGGCTCTGCACAGATGACCTCCCACTCCGCACTGCTCCCTTTAGAAAACACTCACCCATTTCAATACACACTTTATTAAGTTAATTGCATTAGAAGCCATTGGGCATAACCAGGTGATTTTTGTTGAATTTTATCATTTTGTGTTGTACAAAGAAAATGCTGTAGTCTTTCAGGCCAGCTTAGGAAAGCTCTCCACCCTTGTGCCCTTGCCTGCGGGACAGCCAGGACCCCAGTTCCCACTGCTGAGTAAAGCCCAAGGGGCGGTGCTTTCTTTCAGGAGTAAGAATGTGACTCTTCTGTGTCACACCTGCAAATGAGTCAGAGGTGTCCTCCTTGGCTGCCATTGGGGGGGGGGGCAGGTGTGAACCAGTGTCTCCCTTCTGGACTTGCTTTCTCACCGAGTGCACCTTGGACAGTCTGCAGGAGCTGCCTGGTGAAGTACCTGGAGGAGAACAACACCTGTCCCACCTGCAGGATAGTGATCCACCAGAGCCACCCGCTGCAGTACATTGGGTGAGTGCACACCACGCCAGGTGGAATGGGAGTGAGCAGCCACAGGCGTCTGCCCCTCCCTGTGGAGCCGCCGCTCCGCAGGCACCTAGACATCAGGCCATGCAGTGGCCTAGGTTGCTGGAGAGATCTCCAGGCCACTTGGGGTTTCACGAGTTTTAATGGAGTGGCTGAAGTTCAATTTGAAGTGTGAGTCAGGCCTGGGACCCACTTTCTGTGGAAATAACTTGAACCTGGAATGGGGCCAGGAGGTGAGGAGCTCGCCAGGTGGAGTTTCAGATTTGGGGGGCCACTGGAGGAAACACAGTGCCCCTATACCACCTGTGGGAGCAAAGAAAAGTCTAAAGGCAACTGTCGAAGGGCTTGGCGTATGTCTGTGTTCTGCTTAAACTTGTGCAGTGTGCAACACAGGGGAAGGTACCAGTCCTCAGAGGCCCTGCCAGCCTCCAGGCAGCCCCTCATGGTCCTGTGGCCCTTCGGGTGTCAGTTGGCAGTCTGGGCTTCTCTTCTCCAGGTGCCATCTACCTCTGGTGCCTTGCTGTTCTGGTTCTGCCTTATAGAGGTCCTCCTATGGGCTGATTGCAGTGGCTCTGTGTCTGCTCTCTTGGGGTACAGTTGTGCAAACCTGAGGGAGGGGTTTCCCCACAAGAACTACTGATGGCAGGAGATGTAAGGGCCTTCATGCTGGCCGCCCCTTCTCCAGGTACTGCCTGGGGGACAGACCCTTTCCTCGAAGAATCAGGCTATTGTGCTAATGTGGAGAGAGTAGGGGTGGGGCTGGGACTGGAGCTGACCAGGTGCAAGGCCTTGGGGGCTTGGGCTTGGGTCCACAGGGCTGGGTCCTGCTTCTCGTCTCCAGTTCATCTCTGGGTTAGGACTCATGGCTGTGAGCTGGGTGGAGAACCTCCCCTGTGGAGGGTCCCTGGCCTTTGGGCCCTCAGCCCCTTCCTCCTCACAACCTGGGTGGCAGCCCCTATACCCTCCTCAAGTGCCCACCCTGCACTCACAGGGCAAGGCAGGCTGACCAGGGACTGCCACACCAAGGCTGGGTGTGGCACTGTCTTCTCAGCTTCAGCATTTGTGTTCAGGATTTACAGTGGCCAGCCTGGCAGACATCCCAGATAGGTGCTGGACCTGGGCTCCAGGGTCTGGCAGAGGCCATGGAGCATGTGACAAAGGGAGAGAGAGCGGCTCTCAGCCTGTGTCAGAGAAGGGGCTTCACTCCAGGGGCTGCCACTCAAAAGCCCTCTTTGCCATTCTTCCCCATCTGTTTGGCATCTGCTCTGAAGAAAGGTCCCTGCAACTCCTAGGCAGGTGGCAAAGCCTGGCGTCATGAGGGACCCAGATGTAGAGCTTGGTGGCAGGCAGCATAGCCCAGTGTGTCCTGGGGTGGGCAAGATCTGGTGGGAGAGAATCGTGCTGGGAGGTGTCTGTGGCACTGTGTGCACTGAAGGCCTGCTGAGCACAAGTGTCCTGCTCAGGACATGGGCGAGGGGGGCCTGAGAGCCCACGTGGCCCTCCACACTCCACTCTGCTCATGGAGTAGACCGCCGTCCTTGTAAACAGCTTCTGCACCTGGCCCTTGATGGCTAGATTTCTGTGAATTTTATGAAATTTTAAAATTTGTCAGTTATTTAGATATCACTAATTTGGTGCATAAAGGCTTTGTTTTTGTGGAAATTATGTTTAGAAATTAAAGTTGATTTGAAAACTAACAATTCTGTAACCGTTTTTGACCTAAAAAAGAAAACAGTTTCTTTTTTTTAACCTTTGTTTTATTTATTTATTTTTATGTGGTGCTCATATGCACTAGGCAAGCACTCTACTGCTGAGCCCCAGCCCCAGCTCAATGTCAGAAATTTTCCAAGGGGATCAGGCCTGACCTCATGGAGCTGGGGCCCCAGGCAGGAGGGCAGGAGCAGAGTGTGGGTAGGCCAGAGCTGCCCCGTGAGTTGGCCCCAGGTCCAGCAGGACAGGCATCATTGCTGGGGTGACCTTCTGACCTGCCATCACTGTTTGAAACACTCACAAGCAGCTGGAATCCAACTACATGATGCCTCAGTTCAGGTCATTGAGAACTTTGGGCAGCACATTTTTTCATATGCAAACTGAAAGGAAAACCCCACCAAAACCTGTGCTGACCACATGGACAATGTGAGAGTCACAGAGTAATGTCCCCTGACACCCCACTCTTCTCTCTGCAGTCATGACAGAACCATGCAGGACATCGTTTACAAGTTGGTGCCAGGCCTCCAGGAAGGTAAGACTCACATCCTGCGCTAGGTCGGGGGCTTGACCCTTGACTGAGGGGCGAGCTCGCAGAGCCCAGTGGCACCGTCTTGTGCACCCTGCTCCCGACTCCTGCTGGATTCTCCTCCACTCTTTCTGAGGGGTGCGGACTGTCTCAGTTCTGGGAAAAGGCAAAAACACCCCCAAGGGAGACGCTGAGACCTCAAAATGTGTTTGCAGCAGTGCTTGAGCTGCTTCCACAAGCTCACCAGGAGCTGTGTGCTCAGCCGTCCAGCAGCTCCACGAGGCTCCTGCGCCACCCGCTGCACCTTGCGGCTCATCCATGGTGTTAGCATTTGTCCTTTAGGATTGCTTAACCCAATGCCCACATGACTGGTGGGAGAGGCATGGGGATTGCTTCCTGCCAGATGCCGCTCCTGCTGTTATCTCTGGTTATCCTGTGAATGCTCTGGCTTTTGGCTTGTGTTTGTTTCTGGTTGTTTCTGGCAGGATGAACACAGGGCTTGTGCTTAGGACTGACCCACAGCCTCCTCAGGGTGCCTCTGCACTTCTTATCCTGGGGTGTCCCCCAGGTCTGGACTTGCAGAGGACCCGCCTCCTGGGGTGGGTGGAATTGGCGGTAGCTCCAAGTTGCTCTGGCTACCCCTGAGCAGGTGCTGTCTGGCTCTGGAGGTGAGGGGCTCACCATGTCCTTGCTTCTGGGCGGGCAGTGGAGATGCTGTACTGCTCCTGCTGTTCCCTTCTTCTCCTGGCTGGAAGATGTTGACAAAGACACACTGCTGCTCAGGTTCCCTGAAGGTCTGTTTGTAGCGCAGGCAGGACAGACACAGAATCCTCCATCCTCTTTCCCGACACTCCGCCCACCCTGGCCACCTGTACATTGCCGTTAGGGTCCTTTTGAAGCTGGGTCATGTCTATGGCCAGCAGACATCTCCTATTGGGCCAGGGTCCCTGTGGCATCCTGGCGGCCTGGGTGGCCAGTGCTCCCAGGGCAGGAGGTGCTGGGGCTACCCACGACTTTCACCACAGATGGGAGTACACACCAAGGCCGTAGGCAGTGCAGTTGCCTTTCCACTGCCATTTCTGGCACTGCTGCTTGGAGGAGAGTGGTGGTGTGGGAGGCCAGCTGGACTGAGCACGTGCTCACTCCTGGGCACTGCATCTCCCCCACCACACCAACCCATCCAGCATGGCACCATTGGCCCCACTTGGAAGTTGGAGGACCCGAGTTGGAGAGCCAGGTTCTCAGCTTCACGTCCTGAGCAGGAGGCTCGCACATTTGGGCTTAGCCCTCCTGCTGGCGCAACCCTAAGCACTCTTCTCTGACCGGCACATTTCCTCTGGGGTGGATGTCCTTCTCGAGTATTCTCACTCTGTCAAGGTGGTCCTCGGGTGAGTCTCACCCTGACGCAGCAGCTCACTTCCTTTTTGGTGGAGGTAGGCTGCAGGTCATCTGGCTTCCTTGGTTGTGCCAATGTTCGTAAACCTCATTCTCAGGCCAAAGTCTCCAAGTAAGCAGGGCCTCGTACCCATGAGTCACACCTGGGATCGCGGAGTGTGGCATCTGTGTCCCTGGGACAGCTCCTGGGTTCTCCTCTTGCTTTGCTTGTGAGAGGCCGGAATCCATTTAGTTGCCAGCTGTTTCTTTTTGGCTCTGTGGTATTTAAACCTGCCTCCCCCTGGCAAGACCTGTACTCTGAGCTAACTGGGTTGCCTCTTTCACACCTGAGGCCACCTTCCTGCTTTCCCTCCCCTCGTGCCTAGGGCCTGGAGGGTTTTCACACACTCAGCAGCAGACCTCCCTGCCCCTCTTCCTCTGCTCTGAATGGTCCCTTGTGGCCATGGAGCTGCTGGGGACATGGTGCCTGCGTGTCGTTTTATCTCATGCCCTGCTGCACTGGCTGGCACAGGTGCTGGCATCCGGCAGCCCATGCCTGGCTTCTGGTCTGCCTCCCTCCCAGTGGCAGGCTGGTGCCTGCTGCAAGCCAAGGGTCGTGCGCTCGTTGCTCTGAGCTGCAGGCAGCACTCTGCACATCTCAGCCTCATGCCTGCAGAGTGAGAGCCTTCGAGCACCTGTACCAGTGCTGGTCAAGCTTTCTGTCATCATGCCACCCAGAATGTCCAAGCTGGGGAAGGAGGAAAGCGGGCCCACACCTGACTGCCCTCCTGAGAGCACGTAGAGCAGACCTGCTTAGCAAGCAGAACCACCTCGTGAAAGTGGGAAGCGACGGTGAGGCTGAAGTGAGGCCTGACTGGCCTGTCTGCTGGCAGGAGCCACATTTGCCACACACGTCAGCCACACGGCCACACGGATTTCAGCAACTTGGCAGCAGCCATCTGGGTCTTTGGTTTTGTTCTGATCTAAGGGCCGAAGTTATCTCTGCTTAGTGCTACCAGACCCTGAGTGACTTTGGAAGCCTCTCACTTCAGACCTACTGTTTCTTCCTGCCCATCCTGGTGCCACAGGGCAAAGCCACGCTCACCCCAGAGTGCAGGACCTCAGTGTGTGGGGGGGACCTTGGCATGCGCTCCTGCCCTCAGCTTTCCCTCGCCCTCACAGAGTGCCGAGACAGTCGGCCCACAAAGAGAAAGTGCTGGTTTGGCTCAGTTTTGAAGGTTCCAGTCTGTGGCCAATTGGCCTGTTGCTTCAGGCCTCTGGAGAAGTGGCACAACCTGACAAGAGTGTGACCAGAGCAGAGCTGCTCACCCCAGGCCTGCGAGCACTGCGGCCCCACATCAGTCCCTTCAGAGGGTCTCCCGCTAGGTTCAGCCTCTTCTCTACCACTCCCTAAAGGGCCGATGTGGAGACCAAGCCTCGAGCACTGGGCCTTTGGGGGTTGCTGGTCCACACCACAGAGGCAGGACCTCGTTGTCCAGACTTGCCGCAGCTGTGCTTCCTGGTGCAGCACCGTCTGGGGCCTAGACACAAGTCCAGAGGAAGTCAGCCACATGGTAGAGGGGCTTGCACCCGGCCTCAGCTGGAGGACCACGCCCGCGGCTCTGGGTGTGGTGAAAGGCCAGCACAGAGCAGGCCTCTGAGCTTGCCTCATTGCACACTGGAGAGGTTCACAGCACAAGCCTGTGTGGGGACCTCAAGTGAGACACGCAGGCCTCGTGGCAGACGAGCATGGGGACATGTATGTGAACCCTGATGCCAGGCGAATAGCGTCGCCCCACAGGGGCTCCATCCTCACTCTGGAAAACTGCCCTTGGTGGCTGTCACTGTATTTTGAATTTCTTCAATAAAAATTTTTGGGGATTTGTATCTCACCTGTTAACTGGGCTGTGCAGAGCCTCAGTTCTGCCCTCTGTCCTTCTGCCCTCTACAGGGAGAGCTCCTGCCCTGAGTGATGTACAACAGGCTGGCGCACATGCTGAGCAGGGCTTGCCCTGGTCTGCGGGCTCAGCCTCCCACCCCCAGGTTGGCTCCCACCATGGGCCCAGGGACACCTCTGTCAGACTGGCCCAGGTGGCCGATGGCTTTCCTAGGAGTGGCTGTGGGTCTCAATATTGCTGCTTCCTTTTCCGTTCCTTAAGGGGCATCTTGCAGATGGAGTCTAAGTCTGCGTGTCATGGCACATGTGTGTTGTGGCGTGTGCTCCTTTGTAGCAGATGTGATCTCTGTCCGACTGTGACAGAGGTTCCCCTGGGTGAATGGCTGCTCATCCTAGGGCGGCATGTGCGTGGGGTTGCCTTGCTGTGACTGGCCAGTGCTTCAGCTTCTGTAGGAGCAGCCATGAAGGCTTAGGCACTGTGTGCTGCTGAGGATTGTCTGGAGGGCCAGCCCCGCGGTGGGACCCATGGCATTAAAGCAGTTCCAATCTTACAGCGTTACAAACAGGACTCAGCAGATAGCTGGATTCTGATCTCCTCCTCCTGATCTCCCTGGTTCTTTGGGAATAGATGGCTAATGGTAGGATTTTCATGTCATTGTTAAAGTGTAAAGTGTTTTAGGCACATGACACCAAAAACAATCCCCATTTAATGTTTCAGTGTGTAGAGACATGGCATTGGGGCCCTTATTTTTATTCTTTTGTGTCCTCATGGGTAAGAAGTAAAGAAACAACAGGAGCCAAGGTGTCCAACCCAAGTTGCTTTGCCTCATGTCCCCATGTCCTGTGGGCTTGCCATGCTGTCCCATGTCATGCACAGGGTGCCGTGCCTCCGTCTGGGCTGCTTTTGTACAGTGGGGGGACACCCCTTTCTGAGCTGACCCTGCTGGCTCTCAGGCTAGAGTGCACATGCCTCTCACCTCTAGCAATGCCCATGGCTCCTGCAGTGCTCAGCCTATACGTCTTCCTTTCTGCACACTTGGGCATTTTCAGAGCAGCTGTTTAGGGCTGGACACAGCCAGGACTCTGTCCAGGTGGTCTTGGGGCTCGTTGTCTGTAGGGAAAAACAGATATGCAGGTAAAAAATTCAATAAAGGACTTTTGTGTCAGCTACACAAATTAGTTATCACAGAGATGCTTAATAGGGCCGTCATTGAGCAACTCCCTTAAATTTTCTTGCTACCTGTGTGTCCTGAGTGGTGGTGTCCAGCCTCTTGCTTCTTTCCTGAGGTCTGAGCATTAGTCACATGGGTGGAGCACTAGCTAAGAGTCACTCAGTAGCAGGGAACTGATGGTTCCCTGGAATAAAGGTGCCAGGCTGGCCTGCTGTCCAGTGAGGGTGCAGGTTGGCAGCTGTGTTCAGGCCCTCCATACACCCAGCCAGCAGGAGCTGCATGCTGCCTGCCCTGGGGCAGGCGGAGTTGCCCTGTCAGCCAGCAGTCTGGCAGATCTGGCAGAGGTAGAAGGATGGAAGGGACTTTCTGCCTGTCTTCAGGGGGAGTTTCTCTCTGGGGAGTGTTTCCTCCATTTTTGCCCTGTTCTGCTGCTGGATGCTGACACCAGGGGGCACTCTTGGCCCAGTGCCGGGTGGACACTGTCCGTACCCGGGAGGTTCCAGGCACTGTTGCCCTGGTCCCATTCCTACTGGCAAGCCCACCCTCGGCCCGTGAGAGCACTCCTGCACTGCCTGTGGTAAAATGGCCATGGGCACCAGACGGCACATCTGGATCGCTGAGCTGTTTACGCACAGTGGTGATACCCAAGGATCACCAAAGCTCCCTCTGTTACACCCCGGCACTCTGTGGGGCCACTCCATGATGTTGTGGGCAGCGGAGGGGGTCGGGTCACAGGGCTAGGGAGCCTCTCCACTCGCCAGGTTCTTGTGTGGTAGGGCCTCGCCCTGGTTCCTGTGCGCCGCTGCATGGTCCCACAGTGCTGCGTTGACCAGGAGCTCTTGCCTCACCTGCTGCTTTCTTGGCAATAGCAGTCTTCAGGATTCATAACCAAAATCTGCATTCCTTCTATGGCATCTGTGCAGTCTTGCTGAATCCCTTCCTATTGAAGATTGAAGGCTGTCTGTTAACTTTTAATAGCGGAAATGAGGAAGCAGAGGGAGTTCTACCACAAGCTGGGCCTGGAGGTGCCGGGCGACATCAAGGGGGAGGCGTGCTCCGCAAGACAGCACTTGGATCCCCGCAATGGTGAGTGGCTCCGTGGCTGCATATGCCTGGGCTCCGTCAGGCCTCTGGTGCAGCTCTAGGTGGCTTCACCACCCATGAGGCAGCCCTTAGGGGTGCTGGGCGGGCATGGGGTGTGGGTCAGAGAGCCAGAGACACCAGAACGTGCCTGGAGGTCATGGTCAAAGGGCAGAGGGCCTAAGGAAGAAGAAGGTGAGGGAGGTGAGCTTCCTAAGGTTGGACTGTGCTGTCTTACCATAAAATGGCAAAATAACATTTGGTTTGGGTATGAAGTCGATGGCACCTTATAGTCTCTGCATACTGAACATTGTTCAAATCTTTGAGGCCTGGTATTTTTCTGGTGGACCACACCAGAGTACACCTGACGATGTGTAGACGGGGGAGGACCCTGAGTACACCTGACAATGTGTAGACGGGGGAGGACCCTGGCCACCGCCATGTGGAGAGCCAGCCACCCGGTTCTCAGGAGTCATCCCAGGCCGGGGAGGTGGCCGGAGTCTGGCCCTAACCCTGTTGGGGTTCTGGGGCAGGCTCTGGAGCCAGGTGCTGTGGGAGCCTGGCGCTGGTCCTGCTGCCCACTGCTCAGTTATCTCTGTGCTCTCAGACAGGCTCCCCAAGCCTCGGGCAGCCTCAGGAGCCCTGCAGCCTGGGGCACCTTGTCTTGGCAGACCTTTGCACAGGCTTGAGTTCCACTGGGCTCTTGTGGCCAGTCTCAGAGAGAGACTGTTGGTGGCACTTTGTGCTTCAGGGTTGAGAAGAGCATGGCATCAGGCCTTCTCAATGCAGTTAGCACCCCTGGGTTCCCACCACTGCTCAGTGGCTTGGGATTCAGGGCCTCTGGATTTCAGTGGAGGGAATCCCCAACTCTCAGTGTTTTCTCTTTGTGTGACAGGTGAGACCAAAGCAGACGACAGTTCACACAAAGCCACCACAGAGGAGAAGCAGGAGGAGGATGACGACTACCACCGGAGTGACGAGCAGGTGGGCCCCACGAGTCTCCCAGCGCCATGCCGGCTGTTCTTTCTTCCCTTTGGTGTACTACCAGACACACGTATGTGCTGTCCATTATATATTCCAGACCTAAACATGACAGTCCCCTCAGGTTCCTCCTCCCAGACGCTCTGTGCTGTGAGGAGCACCTGTGGGCAGTAAGAGGGACTGGGCTACTCCCACATGACCAGGCAACCAGGGAGCCTTCACATCCTGCTGCCAGCCCTCCCTAACATGCATCGTCCTCTGCAAACTCCAGCAGTCTTCCTGCTTCATGGTGAAGCAGAGCCTTGTCTGACTCAAACAAGGGCCAGGGACTATTGTGAGCTGCTGCTCAGTGGGTCTGGAGACCCTGGCCATGCTGGGGAGAGAACCAGGACATGTGGGAGAGCGACATGGGCCTTGGTGCCCACCCATGGCAGCTTTCTCAAAGCCTCACGCAGTCACCTGCAAATGCTTAGAATTGATCTTGCTCCAGGGTGATGAGCTCAGCATGCGGGAACGGGTAGTTGCAGGGAACTGTCCATAGCCAAAAAGGCTCGCTCAACGTCCCTAGATGGAAAGGAGCTGTGAGGGGCGGTCCCCAGCTGCCCTGTATTGTGGTCCCAGCAGCTGGGAGGTAGTAACCAGCTGCCAGGTACACCCCCGGGCACACTCCTGCCAACTCAGTTCAGGACCTTTGCAGAGGTAGGGTTGGGCTGGCCACAGCAGAACACAGCTTGGCTGAAATGTGGCTGGGGCAGAGCACAGGGACCTTTGATGTTTCTTTATCCACGTCTGCACTTTAATGACACTTGGTGGGCCTTGCCAGAAGCAGGGACAGGGCTGCGGGTGCCCTGGGTATGATGAAGGCAGCTCTAACTGCAGCCCGAGCCCTAGAGCAGAGGTCACCTTGGTGGTGTGGCCCCAGCCCATGCTGCTGTCTGGTCCTGAGTCTATGAGTGTCAGTCACCATCTGAAGGTGGCTTAGAGGGTTGCTCAAATGAGGCCCTGTCTCCTAGCCCTGTCCCCCTGGTCTGGGGGCAGCCCCTCTGCTCCCTGGGACTCAGCCCTGCGCCTGGACCATGTGGTCTTGCGCCTGGACCTAGTGCTATAGGTGGTGGAGGATTGTACCTAGTGTTCTGCTCTATTTGACTTACACTTTGCAGCTCAAGTTTTTTCCACTGTTGACCTACTGATCTTTGCTGCCGCACGCAGTGCCTGGAACTCCATGCTCAGGTGGCCTTGTGTGCATGAGAGCAGGCCCTGTTGTGCGCGCGCGCACACACACACACACTGGTTTTCTCAACTCTAATTTGAAAAGTCCTGTCTGCTGTGCCCTTATGCTTGACAATGCATGTTTTATTTCAGCGTTAGTTACTGTGATCCAAATACCCAAGAACACCTTGGAGGTGGAAAAGTCGATCTGGACTCATGGTTCCAGAAGCTCGGTCTGGTTCTGGGTTGGGCGACTCCAGGGCTCTGGTCTGAGATGAGGCAGCACCTCTTGGCAGACAGACATGGTGGTGGCTCCATTCTCGGTGGCCAGGCAGCAGTGGGAAGGGGCAGGGCCCCTGGAAAGGCAGTGCTGTGGGGCCTGCCCCAGAGACACCTAGCCATGACACCCCTGCCTGCAGTCCCCGCCCACTCAGCCCAGTCCTGGTCCAGCTGTTCATCTGTGGATGCTCTAGCATGTCTGGGAGGAGCTCTGGGCACCGCACATGCAGACCACAGCACTTTTAGAGCCTGCTGCCCTCTGCTCACTTCCCACAGGTGCCTTCACTGGTCTCGTGCTCCTGTGTGCTCTTGCCTGCTGCGTGTTGTGTGGCCTGCCCTGCAGTGGGGGATCTGCCCTGAAGGTGCCACGGGTGCCACGGGTGCCCCATGTCCTGTGCTGTGTGCTCTCTTGCCAGCCCATTTTAAAGTTTTGCTTTTCTCTCCCACATTTTTTCCTGGTGTATCACTGTTGTACATATTGACAGGATTTGTTGTTACAAAGTTGTACATGCACACAATACACAATATAACAATATGATTTGGCCAGTCTCACTCCCCAGCACTTTCCCCTCCCTCCCCACCTTCCATCTCCTGATCCCTCTTCTCTACTGATCGCCCCTTGATTTTCATGAAATCTACCCCACTTCTGTTTTCCTTTTGCTTCTCTAGCTTTAGCACATGAGAGAAAACACACAACCCTTAGCCTTCTGAGTTTGGCTATGTCACTTAATGATGGTCTCTACTTCCATTCATTTTCCTGAATGTGCCATGATTCCATTTTCTTTATTGCTGAATAAAACTATTTTGTGTATTTTTACCACATTTTCTATATCCATTCATCAGCTAATGGACACCTAGGCTGATTCCATAGTTTGGCTACTGTGAACCATGCTACTGTAAACATGAGTGTGCATGTATCACTGCAGTAAGATGACTGTAATACCAAGGAGGTCTAGCTGGGTCATGGTGGTTCCATGCCAAGTCTTCTGAGGAACCTCCACACTGATTTCCTCAGTGGTCGTCCCACCAACATCCTCCACATCCTCTTCAGCATTGTTGTTTGTATCTTTGATGACTGCCACTCTGACTGGTATGATATGAAATCTCAGGGTAGTTTGATTTGCATTTCCCTAATTTCTAACGATGTTGAACATTTTTTTATGTACCTGTTGGCCATTTGTATTTCTTCTTTTGAGAAGTGTCTGTTGAGTTCATTTGCCCATTTGTTATTGATTGGGTTATTCATTGTTTTGGTGGTGACTTTTTTGAGTTCTTTATATATTCTGGATGTTAATACTCTGTAAGAACAGTAGCTAGCAAAGATTTTCTCCTATTCTGTGGGTTCTCTCTTCAGATTCCTAGTTGTTTCCTTTGCTGTATAGATGCTTTTTAATTTGTTGCTGTCCCATTTATCAACTCTTGGAATTATTGGCTAAGCTTTAGGGGTCCTACCGAGAAAGCCATTGCCTGTACCTAAAAGCTGGAGTGTTGACCCTATTTTCTTCTAGGAGTTGCTTAGTTTCTGGGTTGTTTTTGTTATTTTTTGGTTTTGTTTGTTTTGTTTTTTGGGTACCAGGGATTTTGGTACTCAGGGACACTTGGCCACTGAGCCACATTCCCAGACCTATTTTGTATTTATTTAGAGGCAGGATCTCACTGAGTTGCTTACCATCTCACTTTTGCTGAGGCTGGCTTTGAACTTATGATCCTCCCGCCTCAACCTCCCAAGCCACTAGGATTACAGGTGTGGACCACTGTGCCCAGCTAATTCAGAGGTCTTTGATCCATTTTTGAGTTGATTTTTGTGCAAGGCGAGAAATAAGGATCTAGTCTCCTTCTACATATGGGTAACTAGTTTTCCCAGCATCATTTGTTAAAAAGGCTCTTTTCTCCAGTGTAAAGCTGGCTTTTTGTGGTCAGGCTATAACCCCCACAGCTGGCTGTGTGGAAGGAGGTGCAGTTGGCCATCATGAGTCGACCAGTACATTCACCACCATTTGCTACAGGAGTATCTACCAGGAGACCTGCAAACCACACGGGTCTGTTCTGTCCAGCAAGCCCCACGTAACCCTCCCCGCCTCATTATTGAACTATTTACCTGAGCTGTGATATAGTAGGACAGTTCCCAAGATCATCTTGAGAATCAGGTGAGGTGGTGGTGCACCCTGTCATTCCAGTAATCAGCCAGGCCTTAAGCAACTTAGCAAGACCCTGTCTCTAAATGAAAAAAAATAAGAAGCTTTGGGATGTGGCTCAGTGGTTAAGTGCCCCTGGGCTTCATGCCAAAGGAAAAAAAAAAGGAAAGAGAAAGATTGTCTTGAGTAACTGGCGCTTTGCTCCTCTGAATGGCCTTGGGAACCAGCTGCCGGCTTTCCTCAGCAAGTCCTTGGAACCTTTACCAGAGAGAATCCGAGTGTCTGTAGATTCTTGTTGGGAAAAGGCAGAGTTCTAAGAGAGGAGTGCTCGTCCTTGGGCCTCTATGGTTGGTGAGCCTTGAGGCCTCCTGGCAGGGGTCTGCCTTCGACAGGGCTGTGCAGGAAGCCTGGGGAAGGTTTCTATGTGCAGCTCTGATGGACTTGGGTATGAGCAGATGAGACCAGCCTGGCCGATGACTGCGCACTGCTTCTGATCCTGCCACTGCCTCTGCTGGGTGCTCTGAAATGGCTGGGGACACTGCTGTAAAGCCAAGTCCTCGCTGAACTCATCCTACAGCCAAGCACACTCTGCCCCAGTGGCCTCTGCACACCCACATGCCTCAGGGTCTGGGCAGCAGCCCCTGGCAGGGGAGGACTCCTGATGTGGCCGTCAGTAGGCCCTGCCTGCCTTCTGTCTTCCACAGAGCTGAGCTCAGGCTGGGCACAAGGCTAGCTTCCTCACCAGAACCCTGGCTGGAGCAGGCAGCTGGGCCCAGCAGACCCGTGTCTTGGTCTGGCTCAGACCCCACACCGTGAAGGGTGCCTTGTGCCTGCCACTGCACTTGGGCCACACCCAACCTGGGGTCAGCCGTCTGTGATCAGTCCCCTCCTGAGCACACGTGGCCCCTCAACCAGCGCCACACATGGCCAGCACACACCTGCAAGGGCAGTGGCCCTTGCGCTGAGTTGTGCCAGTGGGTGTCCACCCCATGGGTGTCCACAGGGGGGTGCTTCCAAGCTGTCACTGTGGCTCAGCTCCTGGTGCACACAGATTCAGATGTTTCTCCAGTTTTGTTTTGGTTGACATGTGCCTGGAGTTAGTTTTTAAACAACTGTGATGCTTTCTGTAGCTATCTGCTAGGGATTTTTAAACCAAATCAGAAGTTTTCCTTACCTGGCAAGTAGCTTTGCTTCCCCGCGACCACAGGTGAGTATGAGCAGGTCTCTGCCACTCTACAGCCCCGTGTTTCTCTGTTCCCCTTTCTGGCACCAGGTGCTGTTGGTGACAGAATTGCTAAATTTTCTGTAATCTGTTTGCTGCCACTCGCTTGCAGGTTGTAAGTTCTGCTTCAGCTCGTCTAGTGGCCACAGATCACTCAAGTGAACAAACGTCTGCATGCTGAAGGTCCAGGGTTAGCATCGCTCTGCACCTGCCCACCTGCCTGTCTGGACCCTCTCTTTCTTCCTCCTTCATCTCTCTTCCTCCCCAGGGTCTTTCCCCCTGAGCTCCGCTTTTCACAGTTGCTTGCTGCTGACTTTGCTTCATTCTCTTTGTTGGTTTTGTCTTGTTTTTTTACTGGGATTGAACCCACAGGGCTCTACCAGGGTCACCCTCAGCCCTATTTAAAGCATTTTTTTATTTCAAGACCAGGGTCTCACTAAGTTGCTGAGGCTGGAACTTTTGATTCTGTGCCTCAACCTCCAGAGTCACTGGGATGATAGGGGTGCCACCATCCTGACACTCTCGGTTATTTATCTGCTTGGTTCTGTTTCTTCCTGACTTGAGGTCCACTGTGCCTCACCATTTAGGACGCCTGTCCAGTGTTCCCATGTGGGGCCCTGCCCCAGCCCCACAGCTCCTACACACTGGCTGGACATGGCTGTCCCTCCAGCTCACCTCTGTTGGTGCTCTGCTTCCTTCCCTACTTCAACTGGTGCCTGTCTCTGTGCCTCTTGTGGTTAGCTTCCTCTAGAGATCTCTCGGAGGTTAACCCTCCACACTGAGATGGACCACGGCCAGCCGCTGTTGGGTTCTAGCTTCATGTTTGCTAGTTGATGATGTGCCTGCATCTCACACTTGTAACTCTCCCTTTTGCGTCTCTTACCACTTTAGACATCATGTGTCAGTTGATTCTTTTATCTGAATTTTAAGGGGCCTCAGTGTTCTCCAGGTACTCTGTTCCCACCTCCTGAGGTGGTAGGCTTCCGCAGCAGTCCTGGGAGATTGCCTTTGCCTTGTGGGTGGCCAGGATGGGTGGGTGAAGTGGGTGGGTGGCTCACAGCACTAGAATCCTGTGGTACCCCTGCCCTGACAGTTGGAGGCTGCTGCTCCTCCAGAGAACTGCACAACCACATTGCGGTTCTGCTAGGGACTGCCTTTCCCCAAGGCCACACTGGTCTCCATGTCTGCCTCATCCTCAAGGCCACACCTAATGCCACGTCCCTCCGAGCTTCTCTGAATGCTCCAGCCACCCTGCCAGGGTTCTGCCAAGGCTCCCTCAGGGCATCTGTTTGCCAAAGGCAGGATGGGCGGGCTGACTGCAGAGGGCAGGGTGACAGCAGGCAGTTTGAGGAGACTGTCCAAATACCTGAAGGAGAACTGCAGCGATGGAGAAAAGCAGCTTCTGACTTTAGAGGCCCGGCTCCTAGCCTTAAGGCAGGGCCATCAGTGGAGGCCTGCAGATCAGAGACCTGCTGACAACTGACTGCTGACATGGCCCTCTGTCCCCAGGTGAGCATCTGCCTGGAATGCAACAGCAGCAAACTGCGGGGTCTGAAGCGGAAATGGATCCGCTGCTCAGCGCAGGCCACGGTCCTACACCTGAAAAAGTTCATCGCCAAGAAGCTAAACCTCTCCTCCTTCAACGAGGTAACTGCTCCTCTGAGCAGAGGAGATAGGCGTCGCTCCCCACTCGTGAGAGATCCTTCTCAAGTTCTTTGTTGTTGTTGTTTTTTCCCCACAACTTTGGAAATTTTAATAACAACAAAATTCCTGCTGGTTTTTCCTGCCCCGCCAGGTCGTCCACAGGAAAAGCAACAGAGGCTGTGGGAAGAGAGGGTGCTTGGAGTAGGCTGGAGACTTGTCCTGAGGAGCAGTCCTGCTCCTGCAGTTTGCCTCCTGCGTGGATGGTCAGGATGGGTGGGTGAAGTGGGTGGGTGGCTGCCAGCTTTGAGGTTGTAACAGTAGTGAAACTTGTCTGACCCAGAGCCTGGGCATCGGGGGCTGTGGAAGAGAGTGCGTCACCACAGCAACCATGGCCCTCACATGGAGGTGCAGATGGCCAGCAGGAGCCAGTTCTTCTGGGCCCAGGCCAGGCTCCATGACTGGTGGTATAGCATTATAGGCCCCTCGGGCTGGGTGAAAAGTGAGCTCTGGGGCACAGACACAGGGGCAGGAGAGGCCAGTGGTAAGAGCTGTGAGAGAGAAAGGTCAAGGTGTTGTGTAGGACCCAGGTGGCTGACACGAGGTGTGCTGAGGAGAGCAGTGTGTGGACATGGCCTGGCAGGTGAACCATGGCCTAGCCAGAACCTGCGGACGCACTTTATTTGGAAATCAGGTCTTTGTGGACATAATCATGTTAGTGATCTTGAAATGAAATAATCCTAGATTATCTTCTGGACCCTAAATCTAATAACAAAAGAGCCCTGTATGGGAATGAGGCGGTAGAAGGTGAGACAGACTCATGGAGTCCTCTCAGTCCCTCAGCCCCGGGTCGGGACTTGACCCCAGGGTGGCTCAGGTGTCAGGACAGGCTTACTGCTCTCCTGCTGTCTGCTGCTCTTGGGGCCTGTGAGGATGTAGCCTAGAGGCCCTCAGCAGTTGCAGCCCTGCTTGTAGAAGGCCCCTGCTCCTTGCTGATTTCCCAGTCTGCTTCTGCACACAGCCACAGAGGCCATGTGAGAGGCCCCAAGGGCCTCTGCAGGGCCACAAAGCCAAGTCTCAGGAGGCCAGGAAGGGACCCAGTCCTGGCCCAGCACAGCCCCATAGGACACACTACACATGCCAGCCACCTGGAACCCAGAGAAACCAAGTCCAGATGCAGCTTGTGTTGGGAAGAAAGCAGAGGAGAAAACAGGGAAGGGCTGTGGCTTGGCCTGCATTTCTGTGCTGAACAGCAGCCCCACTGGTAGCTGGCCTGGAAGGGGTGAGGGGACTTGGGGTTCTGTGTAAGAGGAGGCAGAGCTTGTTAGAGGGAGCACGAGTACACCCTGGAGGGGAGTGGTCCTGGGTAAGCCTCTCTCCCTGGCACAGAGAGCTGTCCTTGGGAGTGGCAAGAGGCGTTGGGGTGTCTGCTGTGGTCCCAGAGCTCCGGGATCCCACAGTCTGCTCTCTAGCCACTTTCACAGGACAGAGGAGCCTGTGTGAGAGGACAAGAGGCGCAGGACACGTCACAGGTGACACCCTGCCTCGCAGGGCACAGCAGCCACTGCTCTGCGTAGCACAGGGTGTATGAAAGCAGAGCCATTGGCATGCCCCCTGCATCACCACTGCATGCAGTCAGAGAGTGCCAGCTGCAAGCCTCCGAACCAGGAGCACCCCAGAGCCCTGTCATGTGGATGCTGAGCAGCCGCTGAGCGGCTCCTTACAGACAGGCCCTGTTGTGTGGGTGCAGGTTCACGCACCAAACAAAGGCACCCTGGGGTGTGGACCTGGGTGTTGGGGCTGGGTGGGCCAGGCAGGAGCTCTTCTGCCAATCAGCGTGATGTGGGACCTAAAGTGGCTCCAAAAATAGTCTGTGTATAGTAAGAAAAGCCTGGGAGCCCTTTTTCTTCACTGCAGTGGGGGCCAGGATGGTGGGGAGGGGGCCGATGGGCAGGGCACCTCTGTGGAAGCAGCCTGGCTGGTAATGTGATGGACAAGGTCATTACAGGTGTGCACTGAGTCTCCACTGGACCTCTCAGTTTCCCTCCCACCTGCACTGTCCAGGTACCTTGGTGCCATCCTTGCTGCTGACCAAACTGCTTCTGACCTTCCAGGTTCTTGAGGCTGTCTGCTCAGGAGTGGACACATGTCCTGCTCCTCAGGGAATGGAGGCAGGGACATAGATAGTACATAGATAGGACAGCAAGAGCCCTCCGGGGCTCACCCAAGAAGCTATGAGCCTGAGCAGGATACAGCATGTGCAGCTTTGGGGCTAGAGTGGCCAGGCCTTGTCCACAGGTCCCCTGTGGCTGAGCCCTGGGCCTGTGTAGGGAGGCTGCCCCTCAGGAGCAGTTGACACCTCACCTTGTGCTTGCTCCAGTTTCCATTCCTGTGGGGCAGGAGTAGGTGGACAAGGGAGTCACGCCCTTCTGCGGTGCTCAGGGGACATCACAGATGCCCGGGAGTATGTTCTCTCCTGCTGGCAATGTCATGGGTCTCCATGCAGGTCAGTGGGGCCTTAGCCACAAGCCAGCATGTCCCTAATGCAAGCCCCTCTTCCACCAGCTGGACATCTTGTGCAACGAGGAGATCCTGGGCAAGGACCACACCCTCAAGTTCGTGGTGGTCACACGGTGGAGGTTCAAGGTGAGCTTGTGCCTGTGTGCTCCATGGTGCTCACTGCCCTGAGAACCCACCATGCAGCTCTCGTCTTCCTGGGCTCTCACCCTGGCTGGGCCTCCTCGGGAGGGGTCCTCAGCCTCCCGCTCCTTGTTGGGGCAGGAGGCAGTGACCATTGTGCTCAGCAAACCTGCAAACCTTTGGTGGCTTACTGAAGCAGGGAACCATAGTGGAACCCCCATCCTGGGCAGAAAGGGCAGGAGGTGACTGGGCTGAATGAGGTCAGGGCTCCCGTGGCCAAAGGGGTGAGACCTGGAGCAGGACAGACCACAGCCGGCACAGATGGCAGGGGCAGCAGGTGGAGGGGCTGGCACTGGACCTGAGCAACGCACAGGTGGTCTCTGGATTACCTGGACCAAGGATGTGGGGCTCAGTCCCCAGCAGCCCTGCATGGCCCTGGACCAGGGGAGTCGAGGGTGGCACTGTGGGTCTTTTAGCATGGGGCATGGCTCCTGCCTTCCTAGGAGGTGGCGTGTCCACTGACCCTGGTGGCCTACTGAGCGCCATGACTTTGTCTTACAGAAGGCCCCCCTCCTGCTGCACTACAGACCCAAGATGGACTTGCTGTGAGCCTGGCTCTTCAGACTGGCCCTGTGTCCCAGGGGCCACACAGCCATGCGCAGCACCCGCAACAGAACTTGCTTCTGGGTGCCGGGTGGACCAGACTTCTGAATAGAGAATATTTATAACTTTTGTACAAGAGAATCCACACCCTACAAGACACTACCAGCACGTGTTTACAGAGGATGAAAACACTTGCAGTTCTGCGCAGCCGCACGTGCTTACCCACCGCAGGCCCTCGGCCGGCAGGCGCGGCACGAGGCTCCAGGTCACCATCCCACAGACCTCCGCTCGCTTTCCAGGTCTCAAGAATCTGAGTTCATTTCAGTTTAGTTCACGGATCGGTTTCTTAATAAGCCTCAAAAATACCGTACTTTTATTGAGTCCTTCCTAAGTTATTGAAAAAGTCTTTTCATGGTAAATATTTATGTTGCCTTTAGCTTCCTGAAGACTTAGAAGATATATAAAGATTTAATTTAAAGCATACCAAAAGAGGCTTGCGTTGGTACTGAGTGGGCACTAGTGTCCACCCCACCTCGGGCAGCACAGTCCAGGCATGCGTCCAGGTACACGTGTGGGGCTGGAGGGCCCGTGCCACCCAGGCTCCCAGCGTGGCTCTGGCGCACCGGCTGGCAGACCAGAGGTGGCTCAGCCCGCTCAGCACGGGCCTAAAGACCCTTCTTGTTTTTAAAAATCTCATTTATTAAAAAGGGCACAGATTGTTTGGTGCCATCATTTAGTTTCCTACATTGTCCTCCCCGTTTCTGTGCTAAGGAAGAGTGTTGGGCAGGGGCTTGTCAGACCAGTGTGGGGTTGGGGTGCTGGTGCTGGGTGCCTCCAAGCAAGACCAGCAGGGTTCTCCCTCCTGTAGATGGAGGCCACTGTGCTTTCCCACCCTTGTCCCAGGAAGGTGCTGGGTTGGGGTGGGCAGGCCCAGGGGAAGCAGCTCCCCCAGCACATCTTTCCCTGGTCACAGGCAGGGTGCTTTGTGCCAGCCTGCCCTGCTCCCCAGTATCGCGTTGCTGTTGAGTTAGAGGATGAGTTCTGCCAGCAAGTACACGCAGACCCCCACCCACGGCAGAGGGGCGGTCCTGGAGCTCCAGCATAGGAGTCCTGGTGTTTCTGGGGAGCTTTGGGACCCCTCTCTCGACCCTGCAGGGCAAGCATTACCCTGACCCCATGGTCCCTGCCAGGTGCTGCCCACCAGTTCTTGTTGGGTAAATGGGAGTCTCGGTCTGAGGCCAGGTCACCAGGAGGCCTCACCAAGGCCTGGGGTTTTCCTGGGATTTGCTTGGAAAGCTGTGGTGGGCTGTCAGCATCCAGCTCTGCTTATTTTCTTCTGCTTCCTGCTTCACTTACACAGAATGTCGGAAGCAGCAGCCGTGAGACCTAGTGTGAGGGGCAAGGAAGCATCGGAGTAGCTGGTCCAGTTCCTGGTCCTTCTGAAGCAGACACGTGCTGTGAGGGGCTGGTCAGAGCCCACCTCCTCGAATAAGCCAGGGCCATGAGAGTTAGTGCTCCAGGCTTGCTGTTCAGCACATGGTCTCTAGGGTTGCTCTACAAGGATTTATGAGCAAGCATTACCTGTCTACCTCAAAACACGTACTGCTGAAGCCTCCCACAGAGCCACGTTGTCACAGAGCACTTCTAAGTGTGACGTTAGAATGTGGGTACGTCCTGTGTGGTGAAACTAAAGAGAGGTTTGACACGTGAGCCTCCAGATTCGAATCGAGCTGGTTCACACAAGAATGAACCCCACTGTGCAGCCTTCTGGGGTGTGTGTGGCCTGCGGATGCCATGGAGTCCCGGGATGTGCTATGGTGCTAAGTTGAGAGCTCTGCCGCAGCATGGTGGACGCCGCGGCCAGCAGCCCTGCTCCTGTCGCTGCAGTAACTTGACCAAACCTCAGCAGCAAAAGTACCTATTTTTCTAAGATTCCATCGCGTGGCTGTCTTCTCTGCAGGACGGCCAGTGCCCTTCACCCTTGGTCTGATGCGTAGCCTTACCTAGTCAGAGCCTGAAGCTGACGAGCCTGCCTCGCCTGCAGGCCTGAGGGAGCTTGTCTGACTCCAGGCCGCCCGTGTTCCAGCATGACCACCAGGGCCAGTTAGCACACCTTGCAGAGCCTCCTGGCTGAAGGAGCCTGCGGGGCGGTTTCTCATGGCGTGCTCATGCAGCGAGTGCAGTGAGGTGGCTCGCGGGGCCACTTGGACAGACTGGCACCCACCTCCCACACGTGGTCCACTAGGTGCCCTGTTCACAGGAGTGTAAGACTCAGATAGAATATATAATATTGGATTTAAAATGCGGGGGGGTGGGTTAAAGAAAACTTTATAAAATTATTTATTCTACTTTAAGCCTTCTATCCTATTTCTCATCCCTCCTCCAGCTTCGGTGTCCAGCTTTACTTGCTGGCGTGTGGGATGAACTCAAGGTGTCTGGAGCTTCTGCTCTGCGTAGCGTCACACCTGTGTTTCGCAAGGTGACGTGCATTCACCTGCTTCTGTTCGATAGGCCCAGCGTGCCTCCAGGAGCCGCATGCAGACCATGGCAGCTCGGTTTTGCTGCAGGAGAAGGGAGGGCAGATGGGATCCCAAAACACACGCATGCAGCCGTCTGGCTATTCCTCTTGGTTGCTGTCACCAGGACGCTGCTCCTGAGGCTGTGGGAAATCTGCTAGTGGTGTTCAGCAGGGTGGCCCATGGCCCCCAGTTCATGTGGCCAGGCTGGGCCACACCCGAGGTGGCCCTGGAGTCTGATTTGGTTTCTAAATAGAACACGCAAGACGTCACTTGGCGGTCTGTAGTGTGCTGTGGGCAGCCTCCCCGACACACGTGAGCACGCGGCGTGTCTAGAGCATCAGGGGCATTGTCGGGTAGCTAGGTCACAATCATTTCCCCTCTTCCTCAGGAACCCACGCCAGCTCCCCATATCACATGACCTTAGCTCAAAACACAAGTGTGTCTCTGCCTTGATCTTGAAATACACCAAGGAAACAGATGGAGATAAGCAAGTTGGAAATGATCAATGTTAGGACTGCACCGTGGACTCACCATGCCCGTGCCCACCAGGCAGGGGTCAGCGTGGGAAGGACAGGCTGAGCGCCCAAGGTGCCTGGCTTCAGGGGAGCGTCACCTCAGTGGTTCAGCCCAGCTGCAGGTGGGACGCAGGGCTGGGACACAGCACTGGCTGGTGTCCCTGGCCTGGGCAGGTGATGGGGCAGACCTGGGCACTGAATGTGTGGCTTGCAGTTCATGTGCTCATCCTTTCGTTGGTGTGATTTGTACCTCGGTGGCGGCTTCTGTCTGAACTCTGGGGAATACTCCTGATGCTTGACTTCACGGCCGTGGAGCTTATACTCAGTGTTTGCCACTCCATATTATATGCTTGTAATAAAAGCAGAAGAAAACCTACCGCATCTCCTGGGCTGGAAGTTTATTACGTCAGGTGTTTGTGAGCATGAGACCCTTGACCTGCTGGAGAACAGCTGGCCCTGCCTGTGCCTGGGCTGGAACCGTCAGAGAAGACTGCGCCTGAGCTGAGGACGCAGACTTGCTGACCCCTCAGTGTGGCCGAGGGCCATCTGCCTGGCATTCACCTTATACCAGGCAGTCCAGATCACCTGGAGACGAGTGAGCCTGGTAGGCAGCATCATGGGCGGGTCCTGGGAACAATCCCTGGGTGCCTGTAAGTGCGGCAGGAGATGCTGCAGTGTGCAGCCCACTCAGGCCTGCCTTGCCTGCATTAGGGCACGTGCTTACCACACACGTGTGCACAAGCACACGGTCCTTCCAGGCTTGTGTCCTCATGCTCCATGTTGCCCTGGCATGGAGGTCATTTCAGTGGCCTAGCGAAGGGCATCGGGTTTGCAGAGGTTGTTGGCTTGGAGCAGCTCTGCCAACAGGGGTGCTGCTGGAAGGTGTGCTGGCCCCAGCAGGGGCATGACAGGCCCGTGTTCCACTGTATATTCGACGGTTTGCCCAGAAACACAGTGTTGAAAACCTGAGGAAACGAGCATTGGAAGGCCAGGAAGACTGCTGCTGGGCTACAGTCGGAGCCGGGGTGAGTGTGATCTTGGGAATCTCACTTGACCTCTGCTTTTCTTACCTTTGGCGGGTCGCCGGCCCCATTGTACGGGTGTGAAGATCTTGCAGAACCCTGTGCTGGTGTTGTTGTCCCAGGTGCTGGAGTGAACCGGAGCATGTGGGACGAGAGCCTCAGGACCTCCTGCTCATTGCCACCCAGGCTGGCAGAGGGCAGCATGTGCCAGGAAGGTCAGTGGTGCCAGCTCGGAGGGGCACCACTCTATGGACACAGTGGGGCCTGTGTCCATAGAGCAGTGACTGGGTAGTGACAGGGCATAATCAGGGCCTCTGCACGCTGGCCGCTACTCAAGCCCCACTCCAGCCAGATGTCCTGTGGGGGCAGAGGCCTCCTCTAAGATGCAGCTGCCCCTGGGTGCCTGTGCCCAGCTGCTTTTCCTAGAGGAGGTGAGACAGTGGCTCTCCTGGTGGAACACAGTGAGGCTGTCCTTTGTGCGGTTTGCTGTGCCCTGTGAGCAGTGTTGAGTCCTCTGGGCCGCACTGGCTGCACCCCGAGCCTGGCCTGTAGTGGCAAGGTCTGTGGCCAAGTTGCCGGCTCTTCAGCTTGTCTTTTTCTCCTCTTTCTCTTTGGTAGATCAATTATCTTTTTCATCTTGGTGAGGTCAAATTTATCCATATTTTCTTTTTTGGATTCTTTGACTATGCTTTTGGCGTCATATCTAATAAACTATTTGCCAAATGCCAAGTCCCAAAGATATTTTTCTGTTTTCTTCCAAGTGCTTTGTATTTTCATGTTTCACGTGTATGTAATGTATTCGGTTGATTGTGTGAAAAGTGACTTCAAGGTTGAGGTTGAGGTTCAGGTTCAGGTCTGGGTGCCACATGTACCATTACCACTGGCTAAACAGATTGCTTTGCACCACTGTAGCAAGTGGCCCTGTGTGGGGTCTTTCCCTCACTCTGCTCTGACCTCCGACTGTGTCCCTGTGCCAGACCACAATGCTTGGAACATGTCAACATGAGTGGTGGGCTGGGTCCAGTTCTGTTCTTCTTTTATTTATATCTATATCCCTATCCCTGTCCCTCTCTCCCCCTCTCCCTCCCTCACCTCCTTCCCTTCCTTCCCCCCTCCCTCTCCCTCCCTCCTCTCCCTCCCCTTCTCTCACCCCTTCCCAAACCCTCCCTCTTCCTCTCCCCCCATCTATAGCATGGGTATACGTGTGTATGTGTGTGGTGCTGCGTGGAGCCCAGAGCTTCCTGCATAGGAGGCAGTTTCTCTACCCCCGAGCCACACCCCGCCTGGTCTTCTTTGTAAAGAATTGTTCTAGTGCCCCTTTCTGTCTGCCCCTGCATATAAACTCTAGAGTTGTCTTGTCTACGTTACAGAAAGCCCTGCTGGGGTTTCTGGAACTGTGTCAGTTCATAGGTCACTCTGGGGAGATGCCCAGTCCTGGGCCGCAGCGTCTTTCCACACAGGGGCCACTTTGGTTTCTGTCAGCATTCTGAAGTTCCTGGCTCTATGATCCCCTGCACATCTGGTCTACTTATGCCTGATTCTCATTCTCCCTCCCCTCTTCAGGGAGCCTATTGGTTTTTAAATTTCAGTGTTCACACTCTTTATTGCTTATATATACTAATAACTGTGCTTTGTTTGTTTATTCGTTTTTGGTACTGGAGATTGAACCCAGGAGTGCTCTATGCAGT